CTTCTTTTATATATATATATATATATATATATATATTTAGTGTAGAAATTGCATGAACGAGTAATTCTAATTTTATAAGAATTTAATAATGTATTTGATCATAGTTATTTTATAAATATATAATTTTTTAATCAAATCAGTTTTCTATTTTTACAATCTTTCCTTTTATAATTTAAAATTTTTCCTTCGTTTAAATATTTTAAGTCTACTTTTACTCATTTTTATCATTTTCTTTCATTCTATAAAATTCACTGCTTAATACAGATATAATTGGAGAAAAATGAATGAGAATATAAGAAAACAAAAAGTTTGCTGGTACAGAATTATTAATATAAAGAAAAAAAATACTTTTTAACTTTTATTTCACACTACTTTTTCTTTTTTATTTTTCTTTTAAAATATAAAAAAAATTGTGTAATGGTAGTAACTTATGTCATATACTTTTTTTTTATGAAAAAAATCTAGCCTTCATAAATATGTGATCAAATACCTAATCACTTCATCTTTTCTTGAAAACAAGTTCCATCTCTTGAATCTTAGTGAGACAATGATCATTTTGTACCATTTATGACCACACGACTCATCTGTTTTCATGTAGAACACAAATCCAACAAGAAGTTGCATTTTCATTTATTCACATACATTTATTTTTTAATGCTAAAGTGGATTTAGTATACCCTACACGCTTAAATATCATTGCCTTCAACAATATTCTACTTTCATAACGTCCAGTATAAATAATTAGATCTATTTTGATTGAATTATACATACTGAATATTAAATATTAAAGAAGATAAACTATTTAAGAAAACTAGCTTAATTTATAATAATGGTTCCAAGAATTTTTTTCTTTATACACATAAAAGTTTATGTGAAACCAAATTTTCTAGTCACTAGGAATCAAATTGAAAGCTAAAGAGAGAGCTCATTTTCCTTAAAAACTATCTCACCTTCTCTCTTATGTTGTAAAGATTGGATAAGGTAGACTCTTTATTTAAACGAAAATACCAAAGCACTCATTTTTTATTTTGAAAAAAAAGCTGAAGATTCCCAGAGAATGATGGAATGAATTTTGTGAGGGATGGAATTTATCATGGTGGTGACAATGGAGTGGTGGAATCCATTATGAAGAGAGAGATCAAACTGGTAGAATCGATTATGGTATGGTAGATAAAACTAGTGGAATCAATTATGTAGTTATAATCTTAAAATTTATTAATTCTATTTTTTGTGCTAGCAAAAAATATTAATAATATTCTGTTTAAAAAATACTAATTAATTAAAATTACTCTTTAATTTAATCAATAATATATTTTTATTAAATAAAGATGAAACATTCTTTAGTGTGTGATCCTGTTGATTACTAAACCGATAATAAATCAACTCATTAATTTATTAATCAAGATTCACGTCTAGTAAGACTCTTTATCGGCCACATAATATAAAGTATCTTTTACTTTATAATTACTAGAATATGGTATAAATGACAAATGCTAATAAGTTAATAAATAACTTAAGAAACTTTTTTCTTCTTTTATCCATTAAGAATTTATGGATTCTTTCTTTATTAATTATTAATCCCACAAGAATTTAATCATATCCAATAATCATTCCAACTAACATCACAAAACCTTAGATGTTTAATATCAAAGTATAGTTCTTATTACGTCTAATAGTTTAATATCTTTAAGACTATAAAAAAAATTTAAATATCCTTCCTCCTCTCATTTTCTAATTTTTTTATTAAATATATATTTCAAAGCTGACCATACATCGGATAACGGCCTATCACAACAATGTTATTTTATTTTTTCAAATTTAAAATAAATTTTGTCCTCAAAATAAAAACTGATGTTCATAAGTAAAGTTTAATTTCACCAAAGAAATTACCGGTAATATGATTATTAAAAAGTTTGGATGAGACCTATGTTATTTATTTACTAAATCACTATTGAACCAACCTAATCAACAATGATTTGGATCAATGAATACCAAATAATAAATATTATTGTATTATTCTAAAAAGTATTATATTTTTTCCTTTTTTAATATATTTTACCAATGCATTGTTACATAACTTTTAAATATATATTCTAACATCCCAAAAATACAGTGTAAAATCATATAGAGAATAATCACATGTTAACAATACTACAGATCAGTTCAACGCTCAGCAATATATCATTATGACCGAACGACCTTACATAACATCAGAGAATTTAAAACCAATACTCTAACTGTCACTAGACTGAACGTTCTACAAAAGAAACTCATACCGAGCGGTCTTACAAAATATAAAGCTAAAAACAGACCGAACGTCCCTAAGGTTCGGCCTTCACTTCCTCCGCGTCTTCCAATACTTTTTCCAGCAGCTCTTCTCCTTCTGCTCACATCCACACGTATGATCATTGCAACAAGACAATGACAGGACGCACAACACAGACAAAAATGATAAACAGGGTAAGCTTATGTAATTTACTTTATTCAATCACAACCTACAACATTCATAACAAAACCAACAACGACCACATCATAATTCATACATCCATGCATGCAAATAACGACCACATGACTCTGATTATTCGGATTGTATGAATCATGTGTAGCTACGACGTTCGTGCACCCGGGTGATGCAGTAACTGAGATACCCTCAACAGTTGCCACCCGAGGTTGATCCGTTTCGTCCAAGTTAACCTTATGGACTAGGACCTCCTGCCATTCCCACACGTGACTTACTCCTCTCTACATGAGAACGAGTAATCATGGAATATCAGGATGAACGCCCGCTAAGCTTTGCCCACATTCATACTTTACCATTCAATAACCACTTTTTGAGATATTCCTTCCTGGAATACTCGTTCATAATCAAATTATTTCGTACACATCACATTTCAAATTCTCTCATACTTTATCATCCACATATTCAAATGAAATAAGATCATATGTTCTTATCATAGCCTAAGTACGACTGTATAACGCATCTTAGAAACTAACAAGACTGAGCGCTACTCTTCTACTTCAATAAACAGACTCCTAAGAATTCAAACCGGATGCAACGAAGCCTAGGCCGAGTACTAAGACTCTAGGCCGAACATCTTTTAAAGACCAACACTGTTTTACACTAAATACTAATACTGATGAGAAACTATGAAGTAACAAACGCTATCTAGTTTGAATGAAGACTCTGATTCTAAGCACAATAATAATATATTACAGAAAACAAGACCCAACGCTTGGTTTAAGACCGAACACTATTGGACGAGCGTTGGTCCAAGACCAAGTGATTATCAGGAACGAGCGCTACTAAGACTGAACGCGCGCTACTCAGACTGAACGCTTGGTCCAAGACCGATCACTAATAAACTTACGTAAAACGAATGAATATATATATATATATATATATATATATATATATATATATTACAGAAAACAAGACCCAACGCTATGTTTAAGACCGAGCCCTGTAGAACCGAACACTATTGGACGAGCGTTGATCCAAGACCAAGTGATTATCAGGAACGAGCGCTACTGAGATTGAACGCTTGGTCCAAGACCGATCACTAATAAACTTACGTAAAACGAATGAATATATATATATATATATAAAATTGAGCCACCACTTATTCTGATTGAAAAAGAACGATAACGTCTACGACCGTAAGTAATATATATAACACATTTACTAAACTGTTTAGGAAGTCTAAAGAAGAACTACACTTAAGCCGAACACTCACTCATACATATCTACTATTCTATCACGATCATTATTAACGAAATTCCTTGTATAAGAGAACCTAATATAAACGGACGCTTGACCAGATTACCACCTTTACTCAGAATACTACAGTTGACGATCAATCCCTATCTCAACTCAATTCACCATATGCATCATTCATCCATCCACACGTCCAAACAAGCAGTATACACATATCTCATATTCATCAATTAATCAAACAACGTATCATGCAAACATGCCAACGTTCAAACAAGAATTTAATCAAATTATATAAGCTTCCCTTACCTCTAAGCGTGACCGAACGTTCATAATTTGAACCGAATAGCTCACCACCAATCTCTTAGAAGACTACGATCACGATTTATGAAACTAACCAAATGAAAGACCAGAAAGACGTTCAGAAATGGGTTAAGGAACTCATGTAACCAAAAACTGAGTTTGCATGTACAAAAAAACCACTCGGCTGAGAGAGATGAACTTATCAGTCCATAATCCAAAACTGATCGGTTCAAACGAACGCCCTCGACGCCGGGAGTGTTCAGACGGTGCCTGAGAGGTGATCGGAAGAAGAAATGGTGAGGTTTTCTTAGAGAGAAGGAGGAGGTTTTAGAGAGAAGGAGGAGAAAAGAGCTTCAGCAGTTTGGAGGAGAAAAGAGCTTCAGCAGTTTGGAGAAGAAGAAAAACATGCAGAGAAGTGACACGTTATTTGAAATTTGGCCTTAAATATTGCCGTCACCCAAAACGAACGGCCACTCTCTTGCAGTCACCTGTTTTTCACTAACTGAGACACTCACTCTCCTTTTGACACATGGATCCCACTACTTGGGGTTTTTGTGTGTGTTTTTAACGAGGTATGTCATATATTATATATGTATTTTGATTAAACAATTTAAACCATATTTTATATATATATATATATATGTGTGTGTCGGTGTGAGTTGAGTTTAAATGATTTAGACGGACGAAATATTATTTTCTTAAATAGTTGTTTACTTTCCAAAATTGAAAAGTAAATTTTTTTAGTCTCTTCAAATTTAAATGTGAATTTTTATGTTTTAAACTAATTTTAGTTGCACTAATACGATGTTAAAAATATTTCTGAAATACCTAATAATATTTTTTTATTAAGAACTTCAAAGCCAAGCAAAACAAAATCAAACTCAAAACTTCATTAATTAAGCGCCTTCAACGTGTGGAGAGATTAAGTAATATGCACCTTTTGGGAAGTTTATTTTTTATTTTGATCTCATGTAGCACGATGCATATATTTTAATATTTGAGGTTGCAAGACTCTACACATCATTCCATTTTCACAAGGAAACACAAACTGAAGCGCGAGGAAGCAGAGTATCATGGCCATGAGACGGAAAGATTGGGTGATTGCGACAGCGTTAACGTTGTTGCTGTTTGTTTCTTTTCCGGCGTTCAGTTACGGACTTGTTCCTCCTCGTACGCTGCTCAATAAGTTGTCGGAGGGCAAATATCTCACCAATCAGGAGCACTGGTTCGACCAAACCCTCGATCACTTCTCTCCCTATGTATCCCCCTCTCTCTCACTGCTAAATTAGAAGCAAAATCTTTAGCGCATTGTAGTCCTTTATATATATATATTTTTTAAATTGTGTGCTAAAAGATTGGTTGTGCCCTGCAGGATCACCGGCAATTCCGGCAGCGTTACTATGAGTTCCTAGACTATTTCCGGATCCCCGATGGACCAATTTTTTTGTTAATCGGTGGCGAAGGCACATCCAATGGCATAGCGAATGACTATCTAGCTGTAAGTTGAAATTCTTGGTCCAAACTTGTTGCACCCTCCATTTTTTATTTATGAGATGCAGTTTCATTTTCCTAATACCCAATTATAATCTATGTTGCATTAATTGCTTTTACACTAAAATAACCATAACTAAAAGAGAAAGAAATTGTACTGACAAAAAAATAGTAAATAACAAGGGTGGTTTTAAATTATATATAAATTTATGATAGGTTTATTAAATCCAACAATAAACCATTTTCTTGTAATTAGGCAGAGAGAGAGAATATATTTTCTTTTGTTGGCAAAGGGTACTCATCAGTACTAACAAATATTGGGTTGGCCCGTGTATTAGTTGTCTATGAGGATGAGAGGTAAACACATAATTTAAGTATGGCAACGCTTTAATCCTCTCCCCAACAAGTCTGGTTTTTTTTCTTTTTGTTCCAATAAATAGTTATGTTGTTTTTTTTTTGAAGAAAACGTAATAATATAAACATATTTCCTTTTTTTTTTCCTTAGGTACTGGCAAAGAAGTTTGGCGCAGCTTTGGTTTCTCTGGAACATCGCTACTACGGAAAGAGTTCTCCGTTTAGTTCTTTGGAGACAGAAAATTTGAAATATCTTTCATCCAAGCAGGCACTCTCTGATTTGGCCACTTTTCGCCAGTATTATCAGGTAAGCTACATTGTTTTGCTGTTGTAGCTGATAGCAATTTGGTAGAAATGACGCTAGTAAAATAGTAGGACTAAGAAATTTGTTGAAAAGAAATAGTGGATAGTTCTTTCTTTGAATGTTTTTAGATGACTAGAAGAGCACGAGTAATGCAAACCATTGTTCACATATAAGTTGCGAAAAAACCAAATTTTAAAATGCTGTAAACGTTTATCAGAAAGAACTACTGTGATTGTGATTGGCATTTGGATATAGATTAAGGCAGGGTCAGTGGCATTGAGATGATTCTCGACTAATGTTTTCTGTTACACAGTTTACCTAACTTTCATCTATTTAAAATAAGTCGGTATGCATTGAATTCAGTATAAGAAAGATATCTTGGATATCCCTATTGTTTTAAAGAAGAAGTAATAGATTTTGCATGGTAAGAACAGGATATCAGATTGCTCCTCAGCAATTTTCGTTTTTGTACTTTACTTGTGCATTGTGATTGTACTTGGAGTTTGTAAATTTGAGGTCAGAGGTGCGTCTTAGGGTAGATATGAGAAAGCAAATTTTGACTAGATTCTGCATATCCAAAATAGTGAAGGGTACAAGGCCAAATATCATGATAGAATGATGGTCCATGTGCTAATAGAATGCCATCTCAGCAACACGGAATCTCCTTATAATAGATGCATACAGTGCCTTTATTCTGTTCAGGAATCCTCTTGGGCCTACTAGTTTGGAATGCCTTGTTCTCCGTCATATCACCCTATCCACAACAACCTTGTCCTCAAGATTGTAAGCAGCTAGTAACTCATTCCAAGTCTTCCACATGGCATCATCAGGGGATAAGCTATGCCACTGGACAAAGCGAATTTGATAGGAGAGTACGTGCAAAAGTAGTATTGAAGCCCAATATTGCCAAAGGAAACACCACAGGATAGTTGTCAATGAAGAATGATGGAATCTGATCAACGTGAGTAGGAGGTGGACCTGCTGCACGTGCCTTCAAGTTGCAGAAGTAAAAAAAATGTGTATCTTTGTCTAATGTGGCACAGGTCTAAGGGTAAGCCACAAGGCCTAGATTCCAAGCACGCTATAAGGACCATAAAAATGCTTAGAAAGCTTATGGTTGAAGTTCCACATAAACCCACAAATCAACCTAAAAAATAAGGTCAATATGATGCTTATTTGCTGCAGATTTCATTGTCTTTTTGTGTCTTGAGTAAATTTCTTTTTAGCAAGGAAAAAATCTCATCATAACTTTGTAACTTAGAAATACAAGCTGCCCAAATACAGTAGGGAGAGAAGCCTAAGGAAGAATGAACCGAATTATTATAATGGAAAACAACATCCATGCTTATTGTGAAATAATAGAGAAGATTAGGAGAAATCTCCCTTATGTGTTTAGCATACACATAGGGTAGTTTATTTATAATGTAAGATAAGGGTTAAACCCTAAATACAGAATGGGCTAAGCTCAATTAACATAAACACATAACTTAACATCTAACACTCCCCCTCAAGCTGGAGCATATAAATCATATGTTCCAAGCTTGTTACAAAGATAGTCAATTCTTGGTCCTCGTAAGGACTTGGTGAATATGTCTGCCAACTGGTTGCTTGAGGGCCCATAACCCACAGGTCCCAGGATCGGAACCTGGCTCTGATACCATGTTAGAAGTGGACTTTAAGCCTAACTCAACCCCACAAAACCGGCTTGTAAGGTGAGGTTTGCACCTCACTTATATATTATAAATTAGCCTTATCTCTAGTCGATGTGGGACTTCCAACACCCCCCTTCACGTCGAGGTATAGACATCTCGTGCGTGATAGTAGAAATTGGGTGGTCCGATAACGGGTGGAATAGAAGAATAGAATGCTCACGTAGAACTCGCTAGGATAGGCTCTAACCATGGCTCTGATACCATGTGAAATAATAGAGAAGATTAGGAGAAATCTCCCTTATGTGTTTAGCATACACATAGGGTAGTTTATTTATAATGTAAGATAAGGGTTAAACCCTAAATACAGAATGGGCTAAGCCCAATTAACATAAACACACAACTTAACATCTAACACTTATAAACATCCGTTTAGTTGGAGGATGGTAACATCGATACCCTTTGTATAGCATATCCAAGAAACACACATCTTAAAGCCCGATGTGCCAATTTGTTTGGGTTCTTTTGAATCTGCACGAATGCTACACAACCAAAAACACAAGGAGGCAAATTTGTACTACCAAGGGCAACCACTTTGTTCAGGAGAGTCTGCAGTGGCGTTTGAAACTCATTAGAGCTAGAAGGGATACGATTTATGACATGTTGCCATTGTAAGAGCCCCTCCCCAATAAGAGAAAGGCATATGGGCCTCTAATAATAAAGAACATACCACCTCTAGTAAGTGCCGATTTTTTCGCTCGACAACACCCTTTTGTTGCGGTGTATTAGGACAAGTAGTTTGATGAATAATCCCATCTACTCCCAAGTACCTCTTGAGGTCTAGGCTTTGGTATTCACCACCATTGTCACTGCGAAGAACCTAAACCTTTGCATTGTATTGGGTTTCAATCATTTTGTGAAACTTTTGAAATATCAAGTTCACTTCTCCTTTGGACTTCATTAACCATAACCAAGTCATTCTAGTGCAGTCATCTATGAAAGTAACAAACCAACGTGATCCTCTTAGAGTAGAAATCTTAGAAGGACCCCAAACATCCAAGTGTATAAGCATAAAAGGAACAATACTTTTATTCAAACTGAGTGGAAAAGGAACATGATGACTTTTTGCTTGTTCACATACATCACAACGAAAAACAGAGATATCAATCTTTGCAAATAATAAAGGAAACAATTTTTTCAAGTAACTAAATGAAGCATGTCCCAGGCGACAATGCCATAGCCAAACTTTAGTTTCTTCTTTCTGTTTGGTAGAACTCTTCACGGTCAAAGCGCTTTCTAACATCCCAGAATCTTTTGACACCAAGTCCAAATAGTATAATCTTCCTTGTTTAACACCATAACCAATCGTCTGTCTGGTTTGAATGTCCTTAAACACACAAAAATTGGGCCAAAATATAACAATACAATTTAGGGATGTAGTAATTTGTGATACAGACAAAAGGTTATATTCTAGAGATGGAACAACTAAAACAGAATCCAAAGTAAAATTATTAGTAAGGGTTAAGGATCCTTTTCCAATAACAGAGGTTGTGTCACCATTGGCAGTGGAAATCAATTCTTTTGAGGATGGTTTCATGGATGAAATTTGTCTAGAATCAAAAATCATATGATCAGTAGCACCTGAATCAATTATCCATGTGCTATTAGTAATAGGTACAAAAAACTCACCACCATTACCTCTAATTGCCATCAAAGCAGTGGACTCTTTGGAGGCTTCATCTATGATTTTTGCCTCAACAACCGCTGCAGTTGGATTCTTTCTTCGTTGATCCCGACTGTGATCCCACCACTCTGGATATCCATTAAGTTCAAAACAACGACTCTTAGTGTGTCCCTGCTGATTGCAGTGAGTGCATTTAAACTTAGACTTATCTATATTTGAGTTTGCTTTAGGATGATTTCCTTTTGTTTGACCCTGCCAGTTTCTGTTTCGAGCTATCATGGCTGTGCTGTCAGAAATTTCTGATTCACCTTTCAAAGTCGTTTGACGTACTGCCTCTCGACGAATCAATGCATAAGAATTCTCCAACTCTGGGACAGGTTCTTTGCGTAAAATCTCTCCACGAATTTGTTCAAACTCACCATCTAATCCCGCAAGGAATATATGCACCCTTAGTCGTCCAATTGATTTCTTGTATGCTGTGACATCTTCAGGATCTTTCATGACCACCTTATCACGATGATCCAATTCCTGAAAAATTTCCATCAATTCTCCATAACACTCCGAGAGAGGCCTACCATTTTGTTTTGCAGTAAAAGCCTTTTGATTCAAAGTAAAGACTTGTAACTCATCACTTCCATCATAGAATGCCTTAGATAATGCACTCCAAATTTCATGGGCTGTGGCTAAGCGTAAGTAACGCTTCATAATTTCTGGGCTCATGGACAGCAGCAACCACCTCTTCACCTTTTGATTTTCTGCATACCATTTTTCATAACCAGGATCTTGCTCTGCAGGTTGTTTCTCCTTGCCTCGAATATATGAGAGTTTCTCCCTCTCTGCGATATGCATTTCCATTATCTGTGACCATATGTCGTAATTTGTTTCACTAAGAACGATTTCAGCATTGAAAGCACTTTAAGATTGAATAATGACAGGGGTCAATACAGACCCTGATTTGGGTGCAGAGTTTTTATCAGACATCTTATGGGTTCACAGGATGTTTAAAAAAGAGGTTAAGAAAATGGTGGATCAAGCTTAAGGAACCTGGTGGCTCGTGATACCATATTGTGAAATGGCATTCAAAGACATATTTTCATGATTACAGAGAGTGTGTATATGTAGAGCAGTAGAGAGAATATATCTCTGGAAACAAAAACTGTCTAATCCCTATAATTAAGCTAATCCCTATAACTAATCCTGAAAATTAGCTAATGCAATAAATCAACCTATATTTGGTAATTTACTATACAGTGAATCAATTAGAAATCTTAACAAATTCTGCCCAAGACAAGTAGCTGAACCTGATACAAGGCTTAATGTGACCAAAAGCATGCAAATAGTGTTCAACAATGCGGTTCATAACCTCTGTCTATCCATCAGTTTGCAAGTGGTAAGAAGAACTCGGGAAATAGGATGTCACTTAATTTGAATAGGTCATACCAAAAAATGGCTGACAAATAGAGGATCACAGTTGGAGACAATTCTTCTTGGGAAGTCTTGGTGCTTGCAAAGAATGGAGACAAATAACTTGACCACTTTGTGAGCAGTAAATTTCTATGTCAGGGCACCCAAATGAATGGATTTGGAGAAACGATCCACTATGACAAGAATAATGATGAAGCTTGATGATGGAGGAAGTCTACTTTTGAAATCAAGAGAAGCATCTTTCCACATGTTGCTCGGGATTGGAAATGGCTGAAGTAAACCAATAGGATTTAGTGGAGAGTACTTGGTTTGCTAGCAAATGGAACATTGTGATATAAAACTACGGACCTCTTGGTCCATGTTACGCCAGTTAAATTTTTGAGGCAGGTGGTTCAATGGTTTGGCGAAACCAGCATGCACTCTAATAGGGGATTCATGGAATTCTTTGAGGAGTAGATCGCAAAACAAGAGAGGCCAATCGAAATTTTGCTTTGGCAAATTAACAATCTATCATTTGAGCTGAAATTTTGGACAATGTTAGGAGTATCTTGCCATTTAGCACACTACTCTTGGGAGCAGGGGATGCAATTGTAATTGTTGTTTAAGATTGTCCAAGAACAAAAACTGGGGTACTGACAAAATAAAAAACGATACACCCATGAGCACTAATGATCTAGATACGACATCAACTGCATTCTAGATATCAATTAATCATATTTGCCTCTTCTGTTTGATTTTCTTTTTTTCACTGTACTTCAGGTTTGTCTATGGCATGAATCAAATTTTTAAATAATCCATTCCTAGATATGGTGTTCATTGTTTATTAGATTGCAGATTTCCTGTCCGTTTTGTTTGATTTCTTTCTGTCATTTCATGCAGGAGTCCTTAAATGCCAAGCTTAATAGAACAAAAATTGAAAACCCCTGGTTCATTTTTGGTGGCTCATATTCTGGAGCACTCAGTGCATGGTTCCGTCTTAAATTTCCCCATTTAACTTGTGGAAGTCTGGCAAGTTCAGCAGTTGTTCTTGCTGTTTATAACTTCACAGAATTTGATCAGCAGGTGAAGATATTTTGTTTCTGTAGTAGCATTTGCTCCCTCCATTTCACTTTGTGTTGTTTAAGCTTTTTCATAAATTTTTAAATTGATGGTCATTTTCAATGCAATTTTATTCCAATGTAAAAGGGAGAGAGAGTTTGCTTATAGAAAGATGAATTGTAACCATTATATGTTTAAATGCTCAACAATTACAAGAATGAAATGGAGAAGAGAGTAAGAATATTTTAGCAATTTTTTTTCTCCATTTGTTGATCTATTGTTTTTCTTTAAACTATTGATAAAATGAAATAGAGGGAGCGTAAAGTTTAATCTTATTTAATTTCCACCAAATTTTGAGCTCTTGGTTTTATTTTTCTCGTGCAGATTGGTGAGTCAGCAGGTCCTGAATGTAAAGCAGTGCTGCAAGAGATTACTCAACTCGTTGAACAAAAGCTTGCAAGCAGTGGAAGCAAAGTGAAGGCCACTTTTGATGCAGAAGATGTATGCTTTGTTCTTTTGTTACACTTTCCTTGCAAAAGCATATTATATTTTGCCACAGGACATGAATGATTTTGCTCACTAGCTTTCCAGTTTGCTTGTCATGTGTATTGACTATTTCCCTCTGTTTGGCAGCTTGAAATAGATGGAGACTTTTTTTATTATTTGGCTGATGCTGCTGCTATAGCAGTAAGTGTTACGAGTATAGTGGTTTTCTTATTAATTGTATTTTCTTGTATTCAAATTTCATTAACAGTCTTCTCTTTTTTCTGGATCTTTGAATTTCCCAGTTTCAATATGGAAATCCAGATAAAGTATGCGAGCCTATAGTTAAAGCTAAGAAGGCTGGAGAGGACTTGGTGGTATGCTTTTCAACTTAGTTCCTTTTCCCAAATATTATGAAACTGGTTGATGGAGTTCTTCCCTCCTTTGTGTGTGTGTGTACTGGTGGGAGATTTAGTACAATTTACTGACAACCTCTGACAGCCCTCACCCCCTCCAATTGTTAACCCTGTTTGCAAATGAATAGTTTATATAGTTCCTTTTTCCTTTGGCCTCTCTAAATTATAGTTTATAGCATGCAAGATTCTTGGTCATTTTATACAACTCAGTCTAGATTTGTTCTATTCCTCACGTTGCTTAAAAGGTGGGGGTGTAAAGTCTCAAATTTGAATATGATATACACTGTAATAATTAGTGGTTCTTCGTTTATGCTGCCCCTTTTATCTGAAATATTTACTCACTACATATGTACTTTACTAGTTTTCTCTAACTCCAATTACTTCGTTATGTTCGTTTATGCTGCCCTTTTTTACACATAACATATCTATTTTATTAGTTTTCTTAACTCCAATTACTTCGTTATGGCCACACTAGCTGATGTATTCAGCCCCTTAATCATAATCTTCATAACTGAACAAGTAATTTGGTATTTTATCACATAGGAATACTCTAGATTTTGAGTGTCTTGTAATTAGCTGCATCCACCTCTTTTCTTATCACATTGAAATGCTTTTCTGTTTTGTTTTTCATTTTGTCACTTGTGTCTTTCTTAAGTAATATGCAAGAGATAGTGCATTTAATCCGTCAATGGTTGTCTTTATTCTATTTTACATTGGAGGGCAAGTCTTGGAACAATAGCAAGGTTACTTCTATCTTTGAGTTAGGTTGTGCACATGCACCCTGCCCTACCTGCACCAGGTGGCAGCCTTGTGCATGGGATGGATCACCATTTTAAATTCATTAGAAAGTTGTCTTTGTGGTTTAATACATCTGATGTAAACAATTATTTTAACATGCAGGATGCTTATGCCAAATATGTTAAAGAGTACTACTCTGGAACTTTTGGTGTTAGTGTACAGAGTTATGATCAGAAGTACTTGAAAAGAACTGATATTAATAAAGACAGTTCATCTCGATTATGGTGGTTTCAAGTTTGCACTGAAGTTGCATACTTTCAGGTGGCTCCCTCAAATGATAGTATTCGCTCCTCAAAAGTTGACGCAAAGCAAGTTCCTTATCCTTACTGTTGGCTTTACATACTTCTATTGACAGGATTTTGTCACCACTATACTTTTCATGTTTGTAGTTATTGAATTTTTTTTCTATATAATGTCGTTAATTTGTACAAAGTGGTTTCTTCTACAATGCAGATACCACTTGGACCTTTGCGAAAATGTCTTTGGAAAGGGTACCTTTCCTGACGTTGATGCAACTAACTTATACTACGGTGGCACAAAAATTGCTGGTAAAGAAACTTGCCCATGCTTGAATTTGATGTTATTTTTCTCCTCCCGAACACCCCAGTCATTTTAACAATACATGTAAAAATTCATAAATAATATATTTACTTGATTCTGACTCCTCCATTATATTATATATACGGTTTTATTTATCCTTTATTTGTTCATAGATGTCCAGTGGGCCTTGATGATTGTTATCCTGAACACGAGCTTAAGAAGTCATTTTTGAAAAAATATCTATTCTCTGATTGCATATTTGAAATTTATAAACTAGTATATAAAACAAATTCTTCAGTACAATCTTTAATGGCATCTTATGACTTTACTGTGTAAACTATTTATTAGAATATGAACTGATTTTATGTATTCTATTCTGATGTACATGAACAGGTTCCAAAATAATATTTACAAACGGCTCACAAGACCCTTGGCGCCATGCGTCCAAACAAACTTCATCTCCTGATAGTGAGTTGCCTGTTACTTTTGTTATCCTTGTTATTTCTGTAGGGGTATACTTGAACCATATTTCTCTAGAATACTACAGGCATTGTTTATTCAATGGTTATCTAGGACAAATGAGTGGCTCATTTCCCATAAAAGTTACATTAAGTAATGTGTAATCTCATCTGTTCAATTGCTTGAATGTTAGCAACATGATCTTAGCTTTCAGCTCAAACATTATCTGGTACTATTTATTTGAGTAATAAAGGGGGGGAAACAAATATTCTGAATCATGTAGCAGCATGGTAAAAATATATATTATTCTGCCTTGGTTGTGCAATGCAAACAATACTGTTATTAATTGAATGCTGCCTGATTGCTATTAAACGTTTCAGTGCCCTCCTACGTTGTTTCATGTTCTAACTGTGGCCACTGTTCTGATTATCGAGGATGTCCTCAAGTTCCTTTCGCCATTGAAGGTATGTGTCTCATTTCCTCTCCAACATATTGCTCACAATGTTACTCTTTTTTATATAGAAATATTTTGCTTCTTAAAAGAGAAGTTGGACTTCTTTGCACAAAGTTTAATAATTTTTTGTATATGAAAAAAATACACTTACCTCTCCTAACTCATGTTAAATAATACTCATATCTCTTTTAGTTTTTAAATAAACATTCACCTATATTCTGTTTTAAATGAATGATATTCACATCTTCTCTGGCTTTCAAAAACATAAAACTCTTATGTTTTTGATAAATGACTGAGTTCTTATAAACTGATATTCATATCCGCTAGCATAGTCATGCTATAATATCAGCCGAGATTCTAATTTTTTATTTGTTTTACAGGTAGTGAGAAAAACTGCACCTCTCCTGACGCAGTTCACAAAGTAAGGCAAAAGATTTCAGAAAATATGGACTTGTGGTTATCTGAGTGCGTGGACACAGGCAGAAGTTTTATATGATTATTTACATACACCAATTGCACGGTGCACTATAACTTTACTTTTGGAATTTCTTTCCTTTAAAAAGATAATATTTACACCCTTCAATATTTTGTTAAATGACTTTGTATAAAATGACCAAATATAAAGCAAAATATATGTATGCACTGTTATGTTTATGTATTTATCTCTGTTGCATGCAATGCGAGATTTTAAACTATAAAGTTAGATTATACTGTATGTGTAAATTTTCCTTCACAAATTGGTCGTGGAATGTTGAATGGGACTTAAAATTCATTTTTTTAATATGGTATTAAAGTTATCTTAATTTAAAGACATTGAAATCCAGGCTTGGAATTTGAGTTTGGATTTTAAAAAATTTCAATAGAGCTCCATTTATTTTCATGTACAAAGGACTGTAACCACAAAACTCCATATAATAAATAATCTTTTTTAGTCTTTTTAATTATAAATATCCAATTTTGATAACCAGACTTAGATTTCAAATTAAAATCTATTTGATTAATTATTTAGAAAGTTCTCGTAAGAATTATTCACGTATACACTAAATCAAGCAAAAAGTATGATATTATACCAGTGACGCAGTTCGTAACTAAGTTGATTACTTGTTGACTAATTCGATTATCATAACTCTGAGATCTTTATCGCTGCCTTACTTGTTGCCTTATCTCACCAATTAACTGTTTAAAGAAGAATTATAAGATTAACTGGAAGATTTTAAAAGTAGAAGAAAAAAACTTCAAACTATATTAGAATTTTGCTTTTATTTATATATAGGAAACTCGTGATGAGTTGTATTAATGCTTACCCAGAAGACGATCATTGTAGGGTATCAGAAAAGCCTGGGTCACACATTTCTGAGTGAGAATGTAAACATTTTTAGACCCCTGATGCGTAAAAACTACATTAGATCACAAGTAATTCGAATCATGTTAGATACACTCGTCCAAGGAGAGAAATTTCTCTTTGAAGAGAGATATATGTCAATTTGAAAGCTAAAAATATCCATACTGAAGAAAAAACATTCATTTCCGCTTCTAAATAACTCCAGTTCCTTTGCTCATTCAAATATTGAATCTAGAAAGAGAAACAACTACTCACCAACAAAATAAGGTATTTCATTTTTTTTTTCTGAGCTATAATTTGACACTGAATAAGGTAAGCGATAATATTTTGTGAACTTCAACTGCAAAAACTGGTCTTCTGCTTTAAAACCCTCTTCATCTAAGATAGGTCGATGAAACCCATAATAAAACATACGTAATCAATGATGAGATCACTTCAAATGCCCTTGGTCCCTTAAGTATGGTGATAGGAGGAATTACTGACACCATCAAGAAGGTTCCCAATAGCCACGAAATAGCAAAGGCTCCAAACCTGCATCAAAGCACCACTCTATATAAGAAGAAACCCGAAGAGAAAACCACAGATGCATCAAATTCTAGACATAGGCGCAATGATATCAGCATCAGAATGTCACACCATGGGAATGTGATGCTTCTAAATGAAAAATAACATTCCATGAGTTAATAGAGAATAACATATTTGAAAGAACAAAGCACATTTGTGCACGTACCCATATAGTACAGTTCGAATCTTGCTCTTCAGCCGCTCATGTATAAAGTACATTGTAGCGATCAGAGATATTGCCACCTGAAGAGTTGGTCCTTCCTCAGTTGGAAAGAGGACAGTTAAAACTCCAAGTACCAAGAACGTTAGTGATGTTTTTATAATGAATTTTGTAGATGGTGTTTGAAATCTGCCTCTGACAGCTTGAACAAATCGGGATTGATTAACTTCCCTCATTTTCTTCTTAATGTCAATTTTTGGGTTTTTCCGTTCATAGAACTTCTGCATGATTATTTTGTCATGCGCTGATTCAATAGCATCTACACTTGGCTTGTGTCCCGCATATTTTTGAATCAGGAAATTCCTTGCTCCTTGAATCTCATCTTCAGAAGCTTCCCTGCTTATTCCAAGTCGTTTATATGGGTCCTTCACATTAATTCTTGGAAAAACAGCTGCATTTGCAGCAAAGGATCAGAAAAATGATAAGCTATACAATATAGTACTGGTTTCATAGTTTTATCCTGGATAGCTGATGACCTCAAAAAAAGATATAGCATCTACCACGTTCTATTACAGCTGAAGATTTCATTTTGGAAATTGAAATCCCAAAAATAGGCTCCCCAAAAATCCTAACTTCTTTGTTCAAAGGGAGTTTCTGGAATCAATAGTGTGCCACTGCAGCCACTATTTGGCCTGCTACAACCACCAAACTAAACCACTTTGCTATGGGCTGCTCCCTGCTCAACTGCTCCACCACTAGAGCATGCTATTTACAACCCTCGTTGATTTTTTGGTAAGAGATTCAAGTTTCATATGCATTAGGAGGAAAATAATTAATTACGATAAAATCCATCAAGACAAGCAACTAATATATTTCAGTGTTTAACAGGAAAGGGGGGGGGGGGGGGGGGGCAAAGGAAATAGCCATTCTGGGAAAACAGTAAAGCATAATCCATTACCGGTAAAACCACTAAAAAAAGTGGGAAAAAAAAGGGATTTTGTACCCTCAAAACCAAAAATTGAAAAACAGTTTTCCACCTTCAATCTCCTACAGTTAGTCCACCTAGCCTCCCTAGCTGGTAGGGTATCACTGCATTTATATCACATTCCAGTTCTAGTTCTAAAAAACACCCCCAAGAGCTATGAACAATGTGCTTAAATTCCTAGTCAAGCATTATGAGAGGACCAAACATCCACGAAGATCAAATAATCATTTTCAATTTTAGTTTTATTTATACTAATTTTGCTCCAGGAAAAAGCACCATTTACCAAGTACCTAACATACTGGTTTTACATTATCAATGCCTTAGCAGTAAAATTTTCTGTATCATATAATGTAAGGATTGAGCTTCTTCAAGAAAGAAATGTTACCAGCAGAATCATTAGCCATATCACCATATGAAGCATCCATGGCACTTCTGATCAACTGAAATTGTCGTCTATTGCCTTTTAATATAGGAGAAAAAAAACTTGTTCTGTAAAGTGAAAAGGTCAGGAAACAATGAAATGTTTATCCAATTAACTTGCCATGAAGTTCCAAACTCATGAGGTAATGATTAATAGCGCATACCTTTCCACCTGGATAAACTCTCTTCCTTGTTTGGATCTTCCAGCCACAGAGAAAGCCATAACCTGGACATGGCGTGATCCCAGGTGACTAAAAGGTAGCTGGGGACATCTTGAGGGACAGCCACTCAACCCAGATGCAGTCATTTTTACTAAAATCCTCAGGCAATATGAGCTACCTGTTTATGCTTTTGCGAGAAATTGAGATCACAACTTGATATTTCAATGTCCAAAGAAATAAAAAATAGATAAAAAAAATCAACATCAATGGACAAAGATTGCAGTCTCAGATACAAAAAGACAACTAGGACAATTATAAGCATATTACAGATACAAACCAATTGCTATCATAATATAATTAATCCCATCAATTCTTAGATTCCTAAAGTTAGTGGCTAATTTACAAGTTTCTGATTCTATATGTAACCATTTCCCCCCTTTTCTTGACGGATAATTAGATCCAACTTAATTGTTATAAACTGAACTTAGTTCGAGTTGTTCGGTATAAACATCTGTAATCATCTTATTATCCACATTGCAAGTTTAGCACAACTACAAAGGTAACAATTCCATACATCTATTACTACTTTCATAAACCAATTTCAGCACATCTAGTATTTAACCTCAAAAAGATAACATAATATACATACACCTATTACTCTCATACACCAACTAGTACAGACCACCCTAGTGTCATACTATGTTACAATCTGAGGTTTAGATTACAGCTCCTAACCATAATTCATGGTTTCAAAAATCTCCCCAATCGCAATTCCGGCCACATTTAATCATTTACCTTCAGTTTTTAGCAATTTCAATCTCAATTTAAAACCTTCATGCAAGTACAACTGGAGTTCACTATAACAAAAAGAACAATTATAAAAAAAACAAAAAGGTGCGGCCACGGCAGGGACTGTGAGGAGAGACAGAAAAAAAATTGAACTTTTAATAGCGGCGCAATTGGGCACAGACTAGAAGTTGTAAGAACCGTTCAAAAAATAAATAAGCATCGCAAATATTATTCCAGAACAGCGGAATTAAGTAAATGACACACAACATCGAAGTATTGCATATACATACAATTGAATCGAAAGAAGAAGTTGGTACGCACGTTACCAGTGAAAGGTGTAAGAAAATGAAAGGGGCAAAAGGCGTTCAGATGGAGCTGGGTTCGTTGAGGTTTAACATGAGAGAGAGTGTGTGTGTATAACGGATAGCAATATGAGCAAGAAGAGAAAAGAGGCTTATGCGAAGAATACCAAAACCCTGCTCCACCCAATTTTGTGAATCAGTCACAGTAACAATAAGAGCGAAAAATAATAACAACCTTCTTTTGTCATTACACTCTTACAACAATTTTAAACAATAAAAGTAAAACTATTAAGAAAAATAAAACTCACTCCTAACCAGAAACATTTAAGTAATTTTTCATATAATTTCTATTTATATTTTTTTCTCAAATTTAAATTTGAAATTAAAATTCGTTTTTATTTCAAATTTTATATATTTTAATTTTTAAATTTTAAAAATTAATAAATATAATCTTTTTAAGTTAATAATATTAATTTTGTTACATATTAAAAAATATTTTAAGTTGATAATAGAATTTCAAATTTATCGAATTGTATAAACAATTCAGTAATTATAATTTAACACAAAACAATAAAGAATTAATATCATTAGGTTAAAGAAATAGTATTAATTATTTTTAAAGTTTAAGAATAAAAGTATATCAAATTTGAGACAAAAATAAATTTTAATGTCATAAGTTTAAATACTTAAAATATATTTAATCACTTCTATTTATCATTTTATCTTTACATAATTTATGCTTTCTATAATAATGTATTTAATTAAAACAATATATTTGGAACTGTATACTAGTAATAGTTACATAATGCATAAACTATATTTATTATGCATCTTACTATTTATTTAATATTTAAAATGTAAAGTAAAAGTAAAATAAAAATCAATTTCAATAAAACCAATTTAAATTATATCTTATTGAAATAACTTTTTTTATTAAAC